TTCCACTAACCATAGACAAGTCTTGCGTATAAATGCTAGCAATTTGTTAGCCATTATCTTAGCAAAAGTATAATAGCCTAGCTTAGCTCTGGTCAGCCCCACGTTCAATAGAACAACGGTGCGTTGTTACAATATATATATATATACTTATTATTATTATTATTATTTATTGCAAACAGCATCCTAATAGGTAACTAGAATTGAGTTCAAAATGTTAATATATTGTTTATTTATATAAAAGTATATTTGTGTATAAAGTTGGGTATTATAGTGTTATTACGATTCCTGGTCCCGCCCACTCCCACTCCCGCTGACATTTTTTCCTGTCCCGTCCCAATCACGTGATTAATAGTGATTTTGTTTCCCGACCTGTGGGATTCCAGCAGGATTCCCGTGACCCCGTGGAATTCCCGAAAAAATGTCAGCCTGTAATCTAGAGCGCATTCCCTTGATACATGATGATTTGATGGCAGGAAAGCAGTACTGAGTCTCATGATCCTCTGTTTCATAGGCCATGAGTGAATCTCCTCCTTTTAGGTGTTTGTTCTGCTCTGCTTAATGTCCTGTCATTTATACAGTGTCTGGATCAGACTGACCCATTCTGATGATGCATAATGATGTCATAATTTTATATTTACATGCAAGAGGGCCTAACACAGATCCTTTCAGCACTTTACTGCTGATAGCTTAGAGAACAAAATGGTAACAGTCAGAGAAAAAGGATCTAAACCATCTTAATGCCTATCCCTGAATATTATTGTAATTTTGTAAAAAATCTAAAACTATGACATGAACTGTAGTGTCAAGGCAAAGTAAAGTACTGCAATGGACTCTTTTCACTGACTGATCAGCATTTTTTTTAAATTATGTACATTTATAGCATACTTTGTATTATATTACCTTTGCATCAAATTACAAAAAAATAATTAATGCTGCAGTGAGAGTGTTTCTAATGCTAATAACCCAACTATGACGACTTCTGCTTTTGTATAAGACAGACAAAGATACAAATTAAATAAACAAATCGAAGGTTTTTTGGGAACAGTAGGTTTATTTAACACTGTAAGAAAAACTGAATAATCAAATGTAAAAATAAAACACTGCGTAGTCTTCACTGTATGAATTAAATATGAATTGATTCTTATTAAAGATACAAAAGTTGTTTAGCCAATAGTAGTGAGTGATTTTCTCTGTCTTTTGTTGTTTGATTAACATTTATGACACAGACATCAGCAGATATATTAGGCTGCTGTCATTTTAAAGGCCGGGACACGTTGAATCGGCGTCAGGTCCGTCTACGTGAGTGAGAACTCTGATTGGATGCTCAGTTTAGTAAATGAGTCAGTGCCCATGAATTAAAGCTAAAGTGATGAAAACGAGCACGTAAGGCGGCACCAGGGGCGTGTCTACAGGTGCCCCCCCCTACCAGATGTCTTGCGATTGGCTTGTTTTTATACAATTTCTAACTGCATCAGTGGCGGATCCTGGCATGGGCAATAGGAAGAAGCTTCCTCAGGCGGCTTTCTTCTCTTCTATATACTTAATTTTAGGGGGTTTCTATAGCGTTATCTTGTATTCAAAGTTCTGCTGCAGTGACAATCCTCCAGTGATCTGTTCATTCAGGGTGTGAAACAAGCTAACACACACAATGCACTGATGTTGTTTTGTGCTCAGAGGTCTGTGATATGTTAAATGTCTTGATGTTGTTTTGATATCTTGATAAACTGAAATTATGTTTGAATTAATCATGCTGTCTAATCAGCATCTTGATATGCCACACCTGTGAGGTGGATGGATTAACTCGGCAAATGAGAAGTGCTCACTAACACAGATTTAGACAGAGTTGTGAACAATATTTGAGAGAAATAGGCCTTTTGTGTACATAGAAAACGTCTTAGATCTTTGAGTTCAGCTCATGAAAAATGGGGGCAAAAACAAAAGTGTTGCGTTTATCATTTTGTTCAGTGTATATCAACCCGTGGCGGACAGTCTAATAGAGCGAGTAGTGTAAATAAGACACTTGCAGTTCACAAACTGACAAGTAGACGTTCCTACAAGTAGAATCCTAATGACAAGTGAGATTTGCACCTGAGATTTGCTTACACTGTAAAAAAAAATAGTGACTATCCTGAGCAGCAACAGAGATGAAAAAGAAAAAGGTATATTTCACACTTTAAAGACAAAAGTACAAAACATGAATAGAGACAGAGAGGGAGCTGGATTTGCTTAACTCTTTATGCTCTCCTCCTGTTTGCTTTGGTGTGGCTGGTTAAGTGAATGACACGCTCCACACCCGTAACAGTTGGTGGCGGTAATGCACCAAGTTGGTATACCGATGCCAACCAGCAATGATATAAGAAGGCGGCTTCCCCATGCACTTTGTAGCCACAAAAATCATAATCAAAATGGAGTCTGCAACGACTGCTTTTGAAAAATGATACCTCAGTTGTGCTCACTGACATTTCTGTCTGAAGCAACCAAAAATTTTTTACAATTAATTTTTATAATGTGTGCGCGTGCATGTGTGTGTTTGCATGGATGATTCACATGAAATGTAATGTATGTGCAATAGGGGTTGCACAGACTAATCGAATAATCGACTAGTCGACTTCAATGCTCTGCCATGACGCTTTAAGCTGGACGTCGACTAGTCGCTGGTCCTATAGAGGGCGCAACAGGATAAGAAATCTTTGAAGGAATTCCACATTTACGCTCCATTTCCAAACAGTTCAAATGACAAATAAATGCATACTCTGAAAGCGCTCCACAAGACATGTGTGATTATATTACTGGATGCTCGAAATTGAACGGGATAATGCACGTTTTAAACAGCTTATTGCACAGGTAAATTAATCGCGGTTCTAATCTAATGCGCTGCTGCACTGTAACGCACACACATAGGCTACAGACAGTAGCGCGTACATCACGCGCATAGAATCATTCAGCGCGGAAATGTATTGTCAACACTGTGCTGTGATTTTTCAATAAAATAGTTTAGAAAATGAAAAGTTCAAGCATATATTTCTTAATAACTAGTACATTCCACAGCTTCACTACTAGTAGAGAGACGCTGCCAGGTAGAATTAATTCACACACGCAATCGCTGTCTCACTAATGCATTCATATTAATGTAATCTTTACTGTGCTATTTTACCTGTATCTGATTTAGAACGAGCAGAAATCTGTGAGAAATATAACGACCCAAAGACAAAAGAACTGATAAAAAAGCTGTTATAGGAGCAACAGCCGTGTGTGCAGCGCTGTGTCATATGCCATAGCTGTGCACAAGGTGTTTATCACAGCCCCAGACTTATTTGTTCATTAATTACGTCATCAGCGACTAGTCGACTTCGACTCGACTTTCATCACATAAAAGTCGACTTCAAAAAATCAGAAGTGGTTCAACCCCTAGTGTGCAATGCACACTGTGCATTGTTTAAGCTGGCTTTCAGTTCAATAAAATAGAACATTTTGGATTTTTATTCAACTAAGGTGGGCATGCTGTGATCTGTACTGTATTTTTTACTGTAACTGACAGATTCCAGCCAAAAAAACACGTGAGTGGAAGGGAATGGGAGTCATTCTTCTGGGATTGGGACGGAATTTCCCCCCAGTTTTTTTGTGGGATCGGGATGGGACGGGATTTTTTTTGTGGGAGTGGGATGGGAGAGGATTTGAAAATCCACTCGCGTATCACCTTCTACTTTAGATATTAATACAAAATCATATTTGTGTTTTTCTCATTGCTGTCAGCATGGACTGTGTTTCTGAACCTGCTGGTGATCATCTCCATCTCTCACTTCAAGAAGCTTCACATTCCAACCAACCTGATCATTCTCTCTCTGGCTGTGGCTGACATGCTTGTTGGACTTATTGTGATGCCCATAGAGGCTACTAGGCTCATTGAAACATGTTGGTACTTTGGAGACACTTTCTGCAGGCTATTTTTAACAATGATGGGACTTCTCTTTTCAGTATCTCACAGTAATTTGGTTTTAATTGCTGTTGATCATTTTGTGGCTGTGTGTCACCTTTTATTGTACCCACAGAAAATAGCCACAACTAAAACATTATTTAATGTCAGTATTTGCTGGTTTTGCTCTTCAGCATATAACACTGCAATAGTTATGAGTCTCTCACACAAGAAATATGCATGTTATGGAGAATATACAATTATGGTTACTTACTTCTGACTGGACTGTCATGATCTATTCTTGTCTTTCTTGATTCCTTGTACCCTTATCATAACCTTATATTTGAGGATATGTTATGTTGCGCATCAGCAAGTGAAAGTTATAAACTCACTGGTGAAGTGTGGAAAACATTTAAATGATGGTTCTGTGAAGAGGAAATCTGAAAGAAAAGCTGCTCTGACATTAGGAATCATTGTCACAGTTTATCTAGTTTGCTGGATTCCCTTCTTTATTTTGTCTTGAACGGAAAACACAGGAATGGCTTCCAACACAGCCTATATTCTATTATGGATTTTGTATATTAACTCAGGTCTGAATCCTCTTATCTATGCTTTCTTTTACCCGTTTTAAAATTTCAGTTAAGCACATTCTTACTAGAATATTTCTGCCAGCATCCTCTATGATGGACATTTTTACAGACTGTCATTCATAATTGCATAAGGGTTTGATTTAGTTTTTTCATCTTCTCTGAGAAGTTCAATGAGATCAGTTCCCTTTCAGTCAGTCACGTTCGACGTTACGTCAGTCGTGACTGACGAATTGGGATCTCGCCCGAGAGCCCAATCCCCTTCGAGTGTTAACTAAACAAGCCAATGACAGTTGGCGTGCGTGTTTCGCCACGCGCACCCCGCCCCGCAGCGCGGGTATAAATGGAGAGCGCGTGCAAACGCACATCAGCTTTTCGCTTCGGAGCCAAGCCTTCTACAGGACGAATCTCCGCGAGTGTTCTAGAGAAACAGCTGGCGTTGGTGTGACGGCGTATCAGCGGGGGTTGCCATTCAGGCTGCTGAAACCTCGGCGAGCTGCAGCTTCCATTCTGCGGTCTCGCCGCGACCTCCCCTGGGTGCTTCAGCGCTCTCTCTAAAAGAGTGTGTTTCCTGCTAAAAGAGCAATTTCTAAAAGAGCTTCACGAGCGACGGGCGTCTTTTTAAAGATGGCTTCCCACTCGTGCATTTCTGGATGCGGTCGTTTCCTGCCTCCATCTGATGGTCATGATCGCTGCCTCTCGTGCCTGGGCTTACAGCATGCTGAAGCAGCGCTCATGGATGAGTCATGTACTCAGTGCGGGAACATGACCATCGCGACGTTGCGGTCTAGATACCTCCTCATTAAACGGGGGGGTATCCCCCTTGCCATGCCGCGCTCTAGCTCTTCTGGTTCTCGGAGGGCTACTCCGGTTCATAGTCACGGGACACAGGCAGAGGACAGGATGTCAATCGCTGCATCAGAGGGCAAGCTCTAGAGATGAGGATTCGGCTGCGCTGCCACCGTCAGGTAGAGTGGCGTTGCCCGAGTCAGATCCAGAGCTGACCGCTATGCTTT